CTGGAGCTCGAGTCGGTGGTGCCTCCCTGCCTGCAGACCCGGGCTGGCTTTCTGCACATGCTCACTAGCTATCTGCCAAAGCTGGCTCTCACTATCAGGGGTGCACCCAGGGAGCCAGCCACGTGGTGTGGGCGAGGCATGTGGAGTGCTGGGGCCAGGAGAGGGAGCTACAGGAGAGGCATCCCCAGTGGCTCCTGAGGGGGCTTCTTGATGGAGTCCTCAACACTGTTGGTAGGATCCATATCCCTTTAATGTCCTCTGAGAGTCCTATTTACTGCTTCCCCAGTCTTTTCCATCCCCAGTCATGTGGCTCATAATTCAGTACTCTGGATGGGGTGAGGGAAAGATGAGCCTCTTTGGCAGTGTCCCACATGGCTGGGGAAGCCAGGCACTTACTCACACGCCCTCATTTTCCCCTGTGGGGGAAATCACTTGGCCCTGAGCTGTGCTTCCTTGTGGGGAGGGTGACGTGGGTAAAGTCAGGCTATTCTTTCCCTTTCCAATGTGTCCAAACTTGTATTTCTTTTTGTTGTTCCAACAGTGTGCTGGAACTTTGCCTTTGGAAACGTGGGCTTCCACAAAGGCTTTCTTGTTGGTAGGTGATTGTCTAAGGCAGTGCTCTCCAGGGGCACCCAGGCTGCAGGTGAGAGGGGCTGCGGCAGCCTGGAGCAGGTTCAAGGGCCACTTCAGGGTCCACAGCCTGGACCAAGGTGTGTGTGCCTGTGACTCGACGCTTGGGTGGGTGAGACTCCTCCCGGGTCCCTTGGCTTATGGAGCTGGATCCCACAGCTCCCACTAAGGCAGTTTTGTCCGTGGATGAATGCCAAGCTATGTTGCTGGTTAGGGGGAATACAAGTGAGGGACAACTTATTTGGCCATATTGCCAATGTCATCCTCAGAAAAACTTTTCCTTATCAGTATTTATATATTTCTTGTAAGTTTATTTTTAGGTATTAACTATTATGAAAGGGATCCTTTTCCATTGCATTTTATATCTGATTATTGTTGCTATACAGGATGCAATTATTATTGCATATTTATCTTGAATTTGAACATCTAATGGTTTAGTTCTAATAATTTTTCAAATGATTTTATAGATTTAAAATCCATGTGTATAGACAGTAAATATGGATTATATAATGCACACACATTGTATTTTTGTTTTCTTGTATTATTGCATTGGCAAGGAATGGCCAAAGTGTGATTGTGGGTAACCTATTTAGCATCTTTAGGGTTTCACTATCTAAAATAATGTGTTTTTAGTTTCTGATATATAGTCTTTATTGAGACAAGGAAATTTCATTTAGTTCTAGTTCGCTGTCATTATTAGGAATGGCTGTTAAATTTAATATATTTTCAGTAAAGATTGAGATGCTTTAGTATCATTTTTCTGTCATTTTCTTAAAATTTATTTTATTTTTGGCTGCATTAGGTCTTCATTGCTGCGCGCGGGCTTTCTCTAGTTGCAGCGAGCAGGGGCTGCTCTTCGTTGCGGTGCATGGACTTCTCATTGTGGTGGCTTCTCTTGTTGTGGAGCATGAGCTCTAGGTGTGTGAGCTTCAGTAGTTGTGGCTCACAGGCTCTAGAGTGTAGGCTCAGTAGTTGTGGCTCACGGGCTTAGGTGCTCCAAGGCATGGGGGATCTTCCTGGACCAGGGCTCGTACCCACCAGAGTCCCCTGCATTGGCAGGTGGACTCATAACCACTGCGCCACCAGGGAAGCCCCTTTCTCAGTCATTTTTATATTTTATATTTCTTTCTATGTTTGCTATTTTTATAGGAGGTAATTTCAATTATATTTTCAGATTTAACAGCACAAAGTTGTATACAATAGTCTTTTATAATTTAGAGATAATTTCCACATATGTGATTATGCCTCCCATTCTGTGTATCTGCATTCTGCTTTATCTAATTTGTTTTAACCCTGGTGAGACTTTACCTCGTAGTTGTACCTGTTTTTTTTTTTTTTTTTTTGGAAGAGCTTTTTTTTCTTTTTTAACAGCTTTATTGGAGTGTAATTGCTTTACAATGTTGTGTTAGTTTCTGCTGTATAACAAAGTGAATCAGCTATACGTATACATATATCCCCATATCCCCTCTCTCTTGCCTCTCCCTCCCACCTCCCTATCCCACCCCTCTAGGTGGTCACAAAGCACCGAGCTGATCTCCCTGTGCTATGTGGCTGCTTCCCACTAGCTATCTATTTTACATTTGGTAGTGTATATATGTCAATGCCACCCTCTCACTTCGTCCCAGCTTACCCTTCCGCCTCCCCGTGTCCTCAAGTCCATTCTCTACATCTGCGTCTTTATTCCTGTCCTGCTCCTAGGTTCATCAGAACCACTTTTTCTTTTTTTTAGATTCCATATATATGTGTTAGCACATGGCATTTGTTTTTCTCTTTCTGGCTTACTTCACTCTGTATGACAGATTCTAGGTCCATCCACCTCACTGTTAATGTTTTTTAAACTCTGATGAGCTGTTTATCTTATAGTTTCTCTTTTCCAAAGTACCAGCTATTGGCTTCATTTACCAGTTTTACTTTTATCCTAATAAATTACTTATTTTATTTTTATACTTTCTACTTCCTACATTTAAAGATTTGAATGGTTGGTTCATTATTCTTTCATCTTTCTTGTTCAATAATAAATGTATTTGACACTACTGTCCTCTAAGTAAAGCTTTAGCTATGTACCACAGAATAGCAGTGTCATGAACACCAGAATAGTGTATGTTAGATTCCCAAATACACTTTAAAATTCATTTATTTTATTGTGATTTTCTATTTTATTTCTTTTGTTTGTGCATTCCTCATTTATTCTTGAGCATGTCTTTGTGTAGAACATTTTTGTTTCATTTGGTTCAAATCTCCCATAAGCAGCTACTAGCAGATTTTTTTCAATGTAATTCAAGAATCTGTTAATACAGAAATTTATCTCAATTGTTGTTTGTTGTAACTGTTATCCTATCATCTTACGTTTTCTACACATTATCCTTTCTTGTTGCCTTTTCCTGACTTGTACGGAATCTTTTTTTTTTTTATTTTTTGGCCATGCTGCGTGGCATTCGGGATTTTATTTCCCTGACCAGGGATCGAACCCGTGCCCCCTGCAGTGGAAACGTGGAGCCCTAACCACTGGACCACAAGGGAAGTCCCTGTAGGAAATCTTTTTATATCACCACATATATATCCACTTTGGTCTTCATAATTGCTATGAAGAAATCATTGTATGCATGCTTCCTTGGTGGCAGGGTCTTGGGTTGTTTATCGTTCTTCCTCTTTTATAATCATTGCTATAGTTAACATACTCATGAATGTATCTTAGAAAACATTATGAGCATATCTGGGGGGTAAATTTCTAGAGAAGGGATCAAAGGGAACTGTCAGCCAGCAGGATGGTACATTCTTAGTTCTACCAATGGCTTATAAGACTATTTCCCCCTCCTTCTTATCAGCTCTAGATAATTATCAAAATTTTCAATTCTTGCCAATCTAACAGGTGAAATAGGTTCTTATTCTTGCTTTAGTTTAGTTTTCTCTAATTATGAGTAAGGCTGAGCGTCTTTTTATATAGTAATCACGTATCCGTAGTCCTGTAAACTGCTTGTCACATATTAAGGAAATTTGCTTCTAGTCCTTTGAATTGCAAATATGTTTTCCTGATTTGTCATTGGTCTTTCAATTTTTTCTCCCTATACATATGTTTTGAAGTTTTATGTAGTTACCAATCCTTTCTGTTATGGTTTGTGTGTGTTTATCGTTTTACAGATCCTACCAGAGAGGTCCTTCTCACTCCCACATGAGGAATTTATTTTTAATGCCTTCTTCTAAAATTACTCTGTTTAAGTTTTCATGTTTAACCCTTTGTTCTGTATGGAATATATTCTGGTGTAAGGAGTGAATTCCATTTTTGTTTATACCCTCTCCTCCTCCCCTCCAACCCCCCCGCTTCCTTCTCATGTCTGACTCAAGCCCAACTCCTTGGGATTTAGAAACTGTACACTAGTTCTACATTTCATATAGAGTTTATCTTTACTTTTTTTTTTTCTTTTTTGCGGTATGCGGGCCTCTCCCTGTTGCGGCCTCTCCCGTTGCGGAGCACAGGCTCCGGACGCGCAGGCTCAGCGGCCATGGCTCACAGGCCCAGCCGCTCCGCAGAATGTGGGATCTTCCCGGACCAGGGCACGAACCCGTGTCCCCTGCATCGGCTGGTGGACTCTCAACCACTGCGCCACCAGGGAAGCCCTATCTTTACATTTTAATTGTTAACATTTCACTGCATTTGTATTCTCTCTTCGGATGTACATGTGTATATGTGGGTGTGTGATCTATTTAAGGGTTAGATGCAGACATCACAATACTTCACCCCTAAATCCTTCAGCATGTGACTCCTGAGAACCAGGACACTGTACCTGACAGTGACACTGCAGTGAACACACAACTGACACATGACTACTGTATAATATATGGTCCATGTTCATATCCCCACATATCCCAATTATAGCACTGGTTTTACATTTAGTTTTGATCCAGGATCCAACCAAAGACCTCTCATTACATTTAAATGTTATATCTCTCAGACATCTTTGTTCTAGAACATTCCTCTTCTTTTCTTTATAACACTTTACAATTGAAGTCAGCTGTTTTGCAGAATATTCCTCACTTCGGATTTGCCTGGTTGCATGTGTCCTCACGACTGGGCTCAGGTGAAGCAGCTTTGGTATGAAAGTGCAAAGGCAGTGTTCAGTCCCGGTGCTCCCCGTGCACATTAGGGACCCGTGGGTCACTCTGTGCAGCTAGTGGCGGTCACTGGGCTGCAAAGATGTCTACCAGACCTTTCCAGTGTGCAGACTTCTCATTCTTTTTATAAATTCTCACTGATGTGTGGGATGATTCTTTGAGATTGTGTGAAAATCCAGTTCCTCGACAGTTGTTCACCCAATAGCTTATAGTAATTTACTGACATAGTTCTCAACCTATCATTTGTGTGCATCTATACAGTCTGGATATATCTGTAGAATCCTGGGTAAAATGAAATTCGGTGACCTAGTCCAGTCACCTTTCAAATTCCATTAAAGCACACTGGCATTTTAAAGTTGTGGATTAACGCTTCCTAGATCATGCCTATAGCTCAGCATGTGAGTTCCATCAAGCTGGAAAAGGTAGGAAAAATCATCAGATTGCAAGAGTCATTTCCTAAACAGAAGTGCAACAGAACAGGACCCCACCCCCTGTCCCAGATGTCCTCCGCACCCTGTCCTGCTGGAAGGGGTGTGAATGACTAGGAGAAAACAAGGTAGAATCCCAGATTCTCGATCACAGCCTCTCAGCCCCCTGCTTCTGCCCCCGACTTCTCCAAAGGCCAGAGCGGCTGCAGGAACTGCCCACCCTGCCAGAGGGGCGCCTCCTAGAGCCAGGACAGGGGACAGCATCGTGGGCATCTCCAGCCGGCCGGCGCCACAGAAGCCACTGTTCAACCTCCGTCATCGAGATCCACAATATTTTAAGGCCATTTGCTCACATACTGCCTTTAATGGTCTCCTACTCCTGAGGGCAAATCAAGTATATTTTCTTGGTAAGTCTGAGGCACAGACATCACATAAGCCATGATTCTGATTTTTTGCACATACTGATAGCCACCTTGCTTGGAACAGTTACCTAAGCGATCAGGAAGGGTATTAGAAAAGAAAATCTATTGTCGCACTGCTTTAGAGTCGAGCCGAAATCCTCTTACTCTTCCGATTCCCGCGCAGTCCTGGGACGCTGTGAAGAAGCCCCTCACACCTCCCACCCCGGCACACAGAAGGTGGGCGAAGTTGCAAGACGCCAGAGAAGGAGACGCACAGACAGCAGCCCGGCGGCCTGAGGTCAGGCCGGGGGTCGGACGACAGCACGGGGTTGACGTGTTGATGGCAGCTGCACGGGGCCAAGGTCCTTACGCTTCACACGCCCACGGAAGTCATACAGCGGAAGAAAGGGGATCCCGCACACAGTGAAGGGTAATTTTCTGTCACTCATTGTTCCACGTGGGAGTGCAGCCCCCAAAATAGGTACGTTTAGAAAAGATCGAAATAAATGTGTGGGTGATGCTTCCACAAATAAGTGTAACAGGGAAGTGTGACCGTGAGTTTTATCTTAGTGATTTGAGGGTCACATCGTCAGAATAGCATACTCTCTTACAGTGCTATCCTAAAGAAACGTGGACTACAGCACTAAATCTAACTTGAACAATACGTCAACATTAGTAATAAATACAAAATCTCCGGTGCCTACTGTGTGCTATGGGTCAGGGCTGGAGCAGCTCTGCAGGGAGGGGTTACTGCCTTCACAGCACAGGCGCGGACTCTGAGGCCACAGCTGCAGCTGTTGGCCTGAAGCCGCTGAGCTGGGGAGGGAAGACCGGGGACTGCGGCCCGGATAGCCGCTCCTTCCTCTGGGCCCGGCCATTTTGTATGAGGCACATAACAAAGTTGTCAAACAAGCCGGAAAGTACAGATAAGAATGGTTAAAGGAAAGGGTAGAAACTGAAGTTACTTATTTCTAAAACGCTCGCATTTTGGTGACCCCAGGAGGTCCTCAATAAAATGGTAGCACTGTGGGCCTTTCTTTCTTTTTTTTTTTTAAGTTCCCTTCCATTTCTCAGGGGATGTTTATTTAAACAACTGTCATAAAATGGCCAAACAGAAGTTGCTTTGAATTTAACCTTATTCCAATTTTATGAATTTATGATTTGACTAGAAGAGGAAATCTGAAAGTATGGACCGACTGGGTTAGAAAGCCAGTTTAAGGTGCCAGCATCTCAACCATTTGTAAAAAGCCCCAAACTGAAGTAAGGCTCAGGGTTTCACGGCCTCGCTGGCCTCCATGACCCATGAGTCACTGGCAGGGACCCGGCCCGGAGCGTCGAGGGTCACACCCACCTTTGCTTCAAAGAACTTTCTCCTCAACTTGGCGTCCGTGGGCGGCACCGTCCTCCTCAGCTCCCGGTACCACTTCCTGACCACGTGTCCCCTCCAGAAGGCCTGGATCCTGGAGCACAGAACCCCATCAGCCCCGCCGTGCCAGCCCTGGGACGCAGCCAGGCCACAGGGAAGACCCCCCAGCAGCTTCCAAAGGCCTCCGAGCACCCTCTCAGATGGGCAGGCACGTTCCTGCGGCTCGGGGACCCCTCACCTGGTCGCACACTTTATTCTGAAGAGTCGGGCCCCGTCGTGAATCACTCTGGTTTGATACTGGTTCTTTCTACAGAGAGGACAGGTTTTTTTATTTCCGAACTTTTCAAAAGCCTGAAGGCATGCCTGAAGAAAAACATTTCGCTTAAAATTTTACGAGTAATTACTTATAAACAACATTTTTACTTCTAATGTAATTATAGTGTTCTTTTCTCTCATAATTATGAGACAGTCCAATTCAGATTATGAAGGGAAGAAGTTTCATCAGATGTTAACACCTTCCTCCTGAAACTTGCTCCAAAAATGGTATTTTATAAGAAGATACATGCAGATACATCAAAAACTTCTGGGAACACCTCACGTGAAGGCGGATGGTCCCTGCATACGGGCGACTGCACAGTGAGCTCCGAGGGCGAGAGCTGTCGCCCACTCTGGCGTACCGTACCAGCCGCACTCTCTCATGCAAACATCTGTGGCTCTTTTGCCACAGAAAATTCACCATTTTCAAAACAGGACGAATTGTACTCTAGCCTAAAGTCATATTTCTAAGCATAAATGGTGGTTATGGATAAAATAAGTGGTTCCTTTGAGGAGCCTTTAAGTGAGAGAGACGAGGCTCCACCGCTCTGAGCTACAAGGATGCTGCGAGCACTTCAGGATGGGACAGACGCGGGTTACTCACCCTGTGGAACACATGGGAACATGAAAGCAGCACCTGTTCACGAGAAGACAGAGAGATGTTTGAAGTTTAAATTAGTTTAAAAGAGAAGCAGCATCAATGCATTAATTAAAAGAAAAATTCTGACTATTTAAAAAGTAGGCTGTGTTGTTTCTTTGACGAATTTACAAAGCAGATTAACAACTTTGATGTTTACAGTATTTAGCGTTTAAGTTTAGCATAGCACAGGTATATAATCTCAACAAGAATAACTTAACAACAATCTGAAACATCAAACGAACACATGAAGTTTGCTGTAGAATGAGTGTATATTTAAAACGGAAACAATTACAAAAGAGAGGTATTTCTGGGCAGATCCAAAGAGAGAGAGCACGCTGGTGAGGACCCAGGCTGGGGGGCGGGGAGCAGAGAAAGGAAAACAAATATCTTTCCTTAGGGCTTTGTTCAACTCAACTGCACTCTTGAATTTAATTAGCAATACACCCTAGAGACATATGAATCACTTTTTCTTTTTTAAATGCAGGGAAAGTGTGGTCTCCAGAAAATTCCACCTTCCTGTGACCCAAATTCTCCACCAAGTGATGACATTCTGGGCTGTGACAAAGGAGCTTGGACTGAACGAAGAAAAAGGTAGCTGGCTCTTCTGGAAGGAAAGGCCAGGGAGGGGTGAGACCAGGACAGCCAGCACGAAGCGACTCAGGCGCCCGCGGCCTCTCTCCGAATGTGTGGGACGGAGACAGGCGGCAGAGGCATTTCACCAGCAGTGCAGGCTTCCACCTTCCCAGGGCCACGTGATCCTGGTGAAACTTTCCAGTTTCAAAGTGACCACCGCCCCCCCCCCCCCCACCGTGCCTTTGTCTGGTCTACACTTTTCTTCTTTAATGGGAAGAATGGAAGAAATATCAGAACAAATAGAACTTAGAAAGTTCTAAAACCTTTTCTTGAAACTTACTGCGTGCCACCAATAACCCTAAATTGGAAAAACTCAGTAATGAGGGTCCTTTTTAATTACCAGCCTTGAATCTAACAGCAGCCTTTCGTGCATTCAATTGCTCATTGTCAATAGAATCATCTTTCAGAGTGTTTCATCTATCAACAGACATTTGATGATCTATATTGAATAATATTTTACTCTGTATATTTAAAATATACTTTCAGGGCTTCCCTGGTGGCGTAGTGGTTGGGAGTCCGCCTGCTGATGCAGGGGACGCAGGTTCGTGTCCCGGTCCGGGAAGATCCCACATGCCGCGGAGCGGCTGGGCCCGTGAGCCATGGCCGCTGAGCCTGCGCGTCCAGAGCCTGTGCTCCGCAACGGGAGAGGCCCAGCAGTGAGAGGCCCGCGTACCGCAAAAAACAAACAAAAAATATATATATATACTTTTAAATGTCCATAAACATTTGTTATTGGCAAACACTCTCTGAGATAACAAAAATAAACGATTCAGCCTTGGTGAATACACTAAAAATGTCCCAGAAGCTCAGATTAGATTCTAGCTGCCCCAAGCACACTTCCTGAGCTGGCCTACTGTGGATCACGTGAATTGTTTATGTCCTCATCTGTTAAAGGGGTATAATGCCTACCTCAGAGACATATGAGATTAACTGAAGCCTTCTCAAATCATTAAATGTTGGGAAAATGCCAACTATCGTTTATAACTAAGGAAAAAGCTAAACATGAGAACAATAAATAGAAATGCAAAATAAACACGTGTCTATATCTATAACCAAAAATGCAATAGTGAGAAATTTATAAAAAACAACATGGAAGAAATGGTGGGCATGTTGCATCCTGATTCCCCCTTAAGATATTCAACTTCAAACTTTCATTCTTCATACCACAGTCAGGCTAGATATTTATAGCATAATTACGAAAGAGGTTGCTGGGGCCAGAAAGATTCCTTGTGGCTTTATTAGCTCTTTTGCTACTAAAATGCTAAATCATCCTAGAGGCATTCTGTGCTTTAAGGGCTAATATCTTTCTGAAATATCCAACTTTCATATATGTAAGATTAGGTTCTGATAGAGAACTAGAACATAATAAGTATGTTTAAAATAACGTGTGAGTTCAAATTAGTAAAGAACAAAATTGTATGACTGTGAACTAACTCATTAACAGTGAAACTTATTAAAGCAAATTAAGTTTGAGGGTTTACGTGCCAGTATAGTAAGTAAAGCTGGGGTTCCTAGGCTGTGAATTTTAAGCCTGCCTTTAACTGTATTTGCTGTATTTTTTAAAGCAAATTTCCAAGTGCCTCTGTGTAGGAAGCATAATGCTATGCATGTGAGAAATCACTACACGGCGGCCATTAGCTCAAAAAAAAAAAAAAAAAATCTAAGAATAGCAAAGTCCCTAACTTTCAGGAGATTAAAATTTAATTAGGCAGACAAAGTATGTATAGAAAAAACCCCTATGACATAGATTGATTGTATATTATGCATATTATCATCAATCTTACTATGGTAAACTTTCATGAATAAAGATTGTTAAAAGATTTTACTTAAAGATCCTTCCACAGGTTCTTTGGAGATATTCAGTCTTGGTTTTTCTTTTATGGTTTCAAGTCACAAAACAACTTAAAAGTTCCCCACCCTTCTGCCCTCGGTGCCCTCCCGGCAGCGTCCCCACTCACCCCCAGCTGCTCACAGCCAGTGGAATGGGAACATTCCTTTTGTACAAACTCTGTACTTGAGAACTAACAGTATTCAGTAAATAAGTCTGTTTAATGAGGGTGTTTAGCTCTTTCTCACACACATACTTTAATTAATGGAAACAAAATGTAAGTCTTTGAGGGTCACATAGGAGGAAGAGACTGGAAAATGAAGCATGGACTCCCTTAGCCCCAGTTCAGAGTCCAGTCACTAGAGAATGCCCCACGGGCCTGCTTATCTAAGCTCACGCTAAACACCTGCGGGCGAAGTTCGAATTCTTCTTTGCATATTGGGCATGGCTGCATGGACTCCCCTTGCAGGATGGATCTCTGCTTCACTTTTTCCCATTCGTCTGATGACAGTGGCAATGGGGGAGGCTCAAAGAGGCCCAACTTCTGTGCTGAAGTTAAAACAACATGAAATATGAGTTAAATCTCTTTTAGAATATGGTAACTCATGCATAATTTTAATGACATTATTTTGCAAATATTAAAGCAAAACACTTTCATTGCATACTTTATTCCACCATATTTAGAATGCTGCTTTTTTACGGGTCCACAGAAGTCAAGGAGAATACTATCTTACATTTATGCTTTAGGCTTTTATTTACAAAGAATTCCCCATATCTATTTCATTTTCATGATTCTATAAGGTAGGCCGGACTGATATCACTCTTTTTTTTGCGGTACGCGGGCCTCTCACTGTTGTGGCCTCTCCCGTTGCGGAGCACAGGCTCCGGACGCACAGGCCCAGCGGCCATGGCTCACGGGCCCAGCAGCTCCGTGGCATGTGGGATCTTCCCAGACCGGGGCATGAACCCATGTCGCCTGCATCGGCAGGTGGACTCTCAACCACTGCGCCACCAGGGAAGCCCTTTAGTATAGTTTATAGTGCTTGTTATCATTGGTGGATTTGCTTTTTGGTTTGGCTGCTCTCTTCTTTCTTTTTTCTTTTTAAAATTACTTTGTAATTTTTTTATTTTTAAGAATTATTTTTTATTTTGATAACTTTCTTTTTTTTCCCCCCCCTTTTCTTCTGAGCCATGTGGCTGACAGGGTCTTGGTGATCTGGCCAGGTGTCAGGCCTGAGCCTCTGAGGTGGGAGAGCTGAGTTCAGGACATTGGTCCACCAGAAACCCCCCAGCCCCACATGATATCAAATGGTGAAAACCTCCCAGAGATCTCCATCTCAACGCTAAGACCTAGCTCCACTCAATGACCAGCAAGCTACAGTGCTGGATACCCTATGTCAAACAACTAGCAAGACAGGAACACAGCCCCACCCATTAGCAGAGAGGCTGCCTAAAATCATAAGAAGTTCACAGACACCCCAAAACACACCACCAGACACAGTCCTGCCCACCAGAAAGACAAGATCCAGCCTCATCCACCAGAACACAGGCACCAGTCCCCTCCATCAGGAAGCCTCCACAAGCCACTGAACCAACCTTAGCCACTGGAGGCAGACGCCAAAAACAATAGGTACTACGAAACTGCAGCCTGTGAAAAGGAGACCCCAAACACAGTAAGTTAAGCAAAATGAGAAGACAAAGAAACACACAGCAGATGAAGGAGCAAGGTAAAAACCCACCAGACCAAACAAATGAAGAGGAAATAGGCAGTCTACCTGAAAAAGAATTCAGAATAATGATAGTAAAGATGATCCAAAATCTTGGAAATAGAATAGACAAAATGCAAGAAATATTTAACAAGGACCTAGAAGAACTAAAGAGCAAACAAACAATGATGAACACCACAATAAATGAAATTAAAAATTCTCTAGAAAGAATCAATAGCAGAATAACTGAGGCAGGAGAACGGACAAGTGATAGGGAAGATAAAATAGTGGAAATAACTACTGCAGAGCAGAATAAAGAAAAAAGAATGAAAAGAATTGAGGGCAATCTTAGAGACCTCTGGGACAACATTAAATGCACCAACATTCGAATTATGGGGGTCCCAGAAGAAGAAGAGAAAAAGAAAGGGACTGAGAAAATATTTGAAGACATTATAGTTGAAAACTTCCCTAATATGGGAAAGAAAATAGTTAATCAAGTCCAGGAAGCACAGAGAGTCCCGTACAGGATAAATCCAAGGAGAAACATGCCAAGACACATATTAATAAAACTATCAAAAGTTAAATACAAAGAAAAAAAATTAAAAGCAGCAAGGGAAAAACAACAAATAACATACAAGGGAATCCCCATAAGGTTAACAGCTGATCTTTCAGCAGAAACTCTGCAAGCCAGAAGGGAATGGCAGGACATATTTAAAGTGATGAAAGGGAAAAACCTACAACCAAGATTACTCTACCCAGCAAGGATCTCATTCAGATTCGACATAGAAATCAAAACCTTTACAGACGAGCAAAAGCTAAGGGAATTCAGCACCACCAAACCAGCTTTACAACAAATGCAAAAGGAACTTTTCTAGGCAGGAAACACAAGAGAAGGAAAAGATCTACAATAACAAACCCAAAACAATTAAGAAAATGGTAATAGGAACATACATATCAATAACTACCTTAAATGTAAATGGATTAAATGCTCCAACCAAAAGACATAGACTGGCTGAATGCATACAAAAACAAGACCCGTATATATGCTGTCTACAAGAGACCTACTTTAGACCGAGGGACACATACAGACTGAAAGTGAGGGGATGGAAAAAGATATTCCATGCAAATGGAAATCAAAAGAATGCTGGGGTAGCAATTCTCATATCAGACAAAATAGCCTTTAAAATAAAGACTATTACAAGAGACAAAGAAGGACACTACATAATGATCAAGAGAATCCAAGAAGAAGATATAACAATTGTAAATATTTATGTACCCACATAGAAGCACCTCAATACATAAGGCAAACGGTAACAGCTATAAAAGGGGAAATCGGCAGTAACACAATCACAGTAGGGGACTTTAACACCCCACCTTCACCAAAGGACAGATCATGCAAAATGAAAATAAATAAGGAAACACAGCTTTAAATGAGACATGATACATCATTCTCAATGGTGAAAAACTGAAACCATTTCCTCTAAGATCAGGAACAGGACAAGGCTGTCCACTCTCACCACTATTATTTGACATAATTTTGTAAGTTTTAGCCACAGGAATCAGAAAAGAAAAAAGAACTAAAAGGAATCTATATCGGAAAAGAAGAAGTAAAACTGTCACTGTTAGCAGATGACATGACACTATACATAGAGAATCCTAAAGATGCTACCAGAAAAGTACTAGAGCTAATCAATGAATTTGGTAAAGTAGCAGGATACAAAATTAATGCACAGAAATCTCTTGCATTTCTCTACACTAATGATGAAAAATCTGAAAGAGAAATTAAGGAAACACTCCCATTTACCATGCAACAAAAACAATAAAATACCTAGGAATAAACCTACCTAAGGAGACAAAAGACCTGTATACAGAAAACTATTAGACACTGATAAAATAAATTAAAGATGATACAAGCAGATGGAGAGATATACCATGTTTTTGGATTGGAAGAATCAACATTGTGAAAATGACTATACTACCCAAAGCAATCTA